GAGCAGTTGAAAAAGAATCATAACTTCGTTATTTATTCATACGGATTTTAAAAATCCCGTTTTCTGTATCTGAAACTTGAATGCAACAATATGCATTATGCATACGATGAAATGTACACATTTGTGATTCTGATCGGTGTATGGTGATTTGAACTGTGCCTGCAACATTGTCTTAGGTCGGCTGCTGATCGGACATAGTGTGTCTACTAAAGCATATATCGCTTGCTGATGAGCGGGAATTTGCGCTATACAAATGCCATCTGTTATTATTATTATAATAATAAATACTACTACTACTACTACCTACTACTACTACTACTACTACTAATAATAATAATGATAATAATAATAATAATAATAATAATAATAATTATTATTTTAATTATTTCTAGTGGGTGGTTGGCGAGTGCTCTGGTGTGGTTTGCTCCTTCTTTCCTATGAAACATCTGTCGTCTTTATCTCCCCTTCTTCTTTTTTATGTTTGTTACTCTCTTGTAACACCTCTTATCTTCTGGCGCTCATATGACCTTATGCAGTTGCGAGCGCCGTAAAACCTCTACTAAAATAAAGCTATTATTATTATTATTATTATTATTATTATTATTATTATTATTATTATTATTATTATTATTATTATTATTGTCATTTCATGTATTACATTCTCAAAGAGTCAAAGTTATGATATCGGGATCCAAGTTACACGAAAGCACCAGTTTGTTGTTGGACTGTCAATGTATACAGTTTCCAGCACAGAATACACTAGCTGTGTCCGCATTCCGCATGTGCATGCCTGTCCCCGTGGTTTTATGCACCCCGCATAATTTAGCAAAATTGGATCATTTTTTGCATAATTTCTGATTATTTTCCTTTATCATTCTTTGTTAAAATCAACAGAATCGCATACTTTCACATTTTTGGTCTCAGTTTGCGTAATTTCATATTTTTTCTTGCATAAAACGACGGGGATAGGTATGCGTGTGTATGTGGCTGTATTTATTGCAATGAACATGATGTAGCATGTGTGTACATGCAGAACTTGCAGCTCAAGTATATGACTGATTTTTGGGTAGGGATTGGCATATTATACATGTATTTCGAGGGGGAAATTGGCTGTCTTAAGTTCCCAGAAAAATGTCAAGCGTGTTTGTTTTATGCTTCTTGGAATTGAAGCTTTTCCTGCCCGGCTCGTCAGCAGGTTGGCGGAAGAGAAGAAACAAAGAAAGGACCCCCCCCCCTGTTAAAAAAATAACCCAACATTCAAATGCAAAATCAAAATGACAAACATCATTTGCCGAAGGTCTGAAGTCCTCAAGGTGATCTTTGTCGCCATTCCTGTCACCAAAGTCTTTCAAAAACAGGCCCACTCCTGCCTTTCCTTTCCACTTGTGGGTGGTTGGCGAGTGCTCTGGTGTGGTTTGTTCCTTCTTTCCTATCGAACATCTATCGTCCTATCTCTGCCCCTTCTATTTTGCGTTTGTAACACCTCTAACTTTCGGCACTCGTATGACCTTATCGTGTAGCAAGTACCGTAAAAAGGGGAACTAAAATCAAATAAAAAACTCCTTGTTTTTTGTTTTTTTTGTCTTGCAACCAGGCGCTCTGGTGTTGTCTGTTGTTTGTTTTCATTTGTTGTGCTATCCTAACAATAATTGTCTGTGGGTGGTTGGTGGGTGCTCTGGTGTGGTTTGTTTCTTCTTTCCTGTCAAACATCTATCGTCCTTATCTCCCTTTCTTCTTTTTTATGTTTGTTACTCTCTTGTAACAGCTCTAATCTTCGGGCCCTCATATTATTATAATATTATGACCTTATGCAGTTGCGAGCGCCGTAAAACTTCTTCTAAAACTAAACTAAAACACAATAATTGTCTGTGGTATAGTGGTTAAAGCGCTTCCCTGTTGCGTGTACAAGACCCGGGTTCTATTCTAGAAAGGGGGGGGGGGGGCGTTAAAAATTAAGTGTCTCTGTCTTTCTGCTGTATCCATTTCAGCCCAGGTTTACCCCGACAGGCAGGGTCGAAGCTGGCCTCCGAAATGATTTAAATTCTGTCCAAAGGCGCGTAAAAACACCTACATTTAAAGTGTTATAAAACGGGACGAAATGTGCCCATCGTCGTCGAGGCGTCTTGAGCACAACCTCTCGGCAGCTATGTCTGGTCTTTAAGCGTGTATGCGCGTCTCTCTCTCTCTCTCTCTCTCTCTCTCTCTCTCTCTCTCTCTCTCTCTCTCTCTCTCTCTCTCTG